TCTGCCTTTTGTGTGGTATTGGGGTTTGAACCCAGGACCTCATATTTCTAAACTGCTTTATCATTTAAGCCATATTCCCAGCCCTTTTAGTTTTCATTAGTTTTCAGTATTTCACCTTTATGCACAGGGTCACCTGGGCCCCAATACTTATTTATGCATTCTACATAGTTCAAATTACATGCTCACACCACCATGCTCAGCGTTTTATTGGTCAAGAGGGTGTCTTAGGAGCTGGAAAGGTGGATCAGTGGTAGAGCACTTGCCTTGCATGCATGAGATCCTGGATTTGATTCCTCAGCACCACATAAGCAAAAAGAAAAAAAAGCCGGAAGTGCTGCTGTGGCTCAAGTTGTAGAGTGCTAGCCTTGAGCTGAAGAGCTGAGGGACAGTGCCCAGGCCCAGAGTTCAGGCCCCAGGACTGGGCTCCCCCTTTCCCCCAAAAAAGAGGGTGGCTTAGAAACATTTTTCCTGGCCAAACTGAACCATGATCCTGTCCATCTGAGCCTTGAGTACAGCTACAGTTACAATTGTGAGCCTGTACCTATTTTCCTACTTTTTGTTGAAGAATAAAGTTTACTACCTCTCCTCATTAGTGTAGTGTAGTGTTTAGTGTTTAGTTTGGAAATTAGAATGTGGTCCATGTGACATTCTCACACTTCTGAATTAAGACTTTCAAGATAATCTTAAAACTGTAGTGCATCTTCTTCTACTCAGGCCAATAGGAACTCTTGCGGTAGAGAAAGTCACTCAGATAGTTCTGATATTGGCATGCTGGCCACATGAAAAGACCAAAGAATGAACTAAATACCTAACCAGTCCCCAGCTGCTCTGGCTAACAGTAATCATGCTAGATGTGGTTTCTAAACCAACCAACTCTAGCCCAGCCTCTAAGCATCAGCCACTATACAAAACACCACATTTTTTTTTTAAAGTAAAAGCTTAGCTTAGCCCACCAATCCCAGAACCACAAGAGTTAAATTGTGGGGTGGTTGGTTCGGCAGCAATAGCTAATTTGCTTAGACTTTCATAATAACAATTTATATCCTCTGCCCAAGTGCTTTTATTTACTGCTGATGAGAATCTGGGGCGCCATCTAGGGCACCTGTTCTTCATAAGGCAGCTGAGCAATTCCAGGTTACTCTGGTTTGATAAAGCCTGGATCAGGAACTTTTGCCTAAAATTTTCACAGCAGAAGGGAAGAATGTTAACATTTTGCACTAGCGATTAAGTGCTTCAGTCTGGAAGTAATACATACACCCTCCCTCTGGTTGTAGTCCAACACTAGTCATACAGGTGTGCCTCACTCGAAAGAAGTCTATTGCTTAGTGGGCTAGGAGATAGAGAGAGAGGTAGAGGGAGAGAGGGAGTCAGATATGGATAATGGATATGCATCCCTCACATTCTTTCCCTGTCTCTTGCTATGATGTCACATCTTCAAAGTCTAACATAATTCCTTTTCCTACGGAGATTCCTGTGTCTAGTGTAACCACAGCTTCCCCACAGTCTCAACATTACAAAGTATACTGGAGACCAAACCTCTTCTGTCCCAGGAGCGGGTAGCAATTTTCTTAAAACCATAAAACTATACTTTGAATACACAAGTGATGTGTTTAACAAATGACTCCATATCTTGGTGGCTTAAAACAATACCACTGATTTGTCAAAGTCTCTGTGGGTAAAGGCCCCAGCTAAGCTGTACCTCGTGGCTCCAGGTGACTCATTGGACTCAGGATCTGAGCAGCGCTATTAGGTTACTCAAAGGGTTGTTTCTGAGATTTAGTTCTTGGCAGGCTGGTAGATGAAGGGCTCTGTTCCTCAGGAGATGTTGGCTCAAGGTCTCTCTTAATTCCTGTTGCTTAGAGTTCTCCATATTGTCTCAAAATGAGCAAGCAAGAATTTCAGCATGGTGGAAATCCTAGGTTATGGAATCTTGTTATGGAAAGATTAGGCCATCACCTTTATGTATTCCATTGGTTGGAAATGAGTCTTTGGGCTCAACTACATTCCAGAGGAGCAAATCCTACCAGGGCCTGAATATCACAAGTTGAGATATTGGGGACCATTTAAGAAAGTGCCTACCTCAAGTACTGCAATGGGGTAAATAATCTAGGCAGGAAACACAAAGTCTTTAACCTTGAAGGTTCCAAATAGGAACTGGAGAAGTGAGGAGAGAGAGTGACAACTGAGTGAAATCCTGTTAAACATGAGCGTGTTGTGGTTTTGTTATACAGAAGAACTACTGGAGTTGAGATGAGACAGAGTCTCTTTTGTGTGGGCTACTGAAAGTACAAGGTGAACTACTAGAAAGTAGCTCAATCACAATTCACTAAACAACTGGTGAAGAAGAGAATGAAGCCAAATGAAGAGGCAAGGAGGCATAAATGTATTCTAAGTTCTCAGGGGAGGGAGAAATAGCTTTGTGTTTCTGGGGCACAAGGCCTTCTGGAAAGGGTGAAATATATGGTGAGCAAAACTAAAGCTAGACTGTAAATGATATTGACTATGCTGTTAAGTGCTTTTTGTTTTGTTTTGTTTCATTTTTCTTTAGGGGGCAGGTTGTGGAGCATGAACTTATTAGGGACTGGGTGCTGTCCCTGAGCTTTTACACTCAAGGGCTAGCACTCTTATCACTTTGAGCCACAGCACCTTCCATTTTTTTTTTTTTTTTTGGTGGTTAACTGGAGATAATAGTCTTATGGACTTTCCTGCCCAGGCTGGCTTTGAACCATGATCCTCATATCTCAGCCTCCTGAGTAGCTAGGATTACAGGCTTGAGCCACTGGCGTACCCAGATAACCTTAGGAAAAACAGGGAGCCTTAGAAGCATTATAGAGTATTGTTATTTCTAAATAATAATGTTTTCTGAGCCATAGTGGTCATTATGCCTATAACTATCCATTTGGAGCAGTTTCTACAATCACCTATATTTAAGCTGAATCAGGATGTACAGTAGTTTTCATTCCAAATCACATTGGGTAGGGAGTATGTGGGCTGAGATGCCATCTTGGTTTACAGCAACTGATCTCGCCTCATCATGGCAAAGCCCTCCCACATATTTGTACTGTGTTATTCCTTACCAGCCTTTCCTGTTCTCCTCCATCTGAAGGGCAAGAAAAGCAGTCCTTGAATATAAAATTTATGTTAGCAATAGAAAGTGCGGTCGCAAATTTCTTTTGTGATCCTGATGTTTTCTTTATCATTTCTCATTTGTAAACATCCCTCGGCCCAAAAACATTGATAACACAGCAAAATGAATCTACCTTCAATACTGACTATCTGGGTATCACTCTTATTTCATGTATCTGCTACTCCTCACATTTTATTTCTGGTATAGTTTAAAGCAAATTTTAAGCATCACATTACCTCATCACAACTATTTTACTATCTTTAACCAATAAAAAATTTAAAACATTAGGGCATCTTGATTGAGCTCAAGAAAATTAACTGTAATAATTAAAATTAAGTGCACTGCTTAACTTCTTTAAAAAATCACATATCCTAGTTAAAAAAAATACACTGGAAAGAATGATAGATTTCTTATCTATTTCTTTAAAAAAATAAGCACAATAAGATGTTTCTCTACTGACTTTGCAGCATTGAGGTACACATCAAGACAAAGAGTTTTAGTAATATTACTTTCAGACATGTGCCGATTCGATAATAATTTGTAAACTCAAGTGTTTTGATACAAGCTGACTGGATCCACATAGGTTTTATCTAAGGCTAATTAACATCTAATCCACACCAGATCTCTATGTACAAAATTATTATTTTTTTTCCTATTACCCCTATTGGCGATGGATCGTCTGTGACCTGAAGTACTCAAGAGTGCAGAGCAAGACATGTTGGAAGTCCAGGACAGAAACAACTTTTTCTAGATGTAGTATCCAACCACTGAGATTTTTTGCTTTGCACTCCTGGTAAATGTTTATAACGCACATGACTCTCTAACTATAATGCACTTTAAACATACTCACGGTGCCAGGCACCCAAGGTACAGATTCATCCATTGTGTATCTGAAAAGCAATGAGGAAATTAGTGAAAGCTGTTTTCCTTTCAGACCTAAAGAAACTGTAGGACAGAAACGTACGTGCATTTTACTGCAACGAACGATATGCTTGTTAATGGACTCATTGCTTTTAACCTGGTGATACTTAGGTTTTGAAAGTTACTCCACCATTAAACGTGGTTTTGCAAAAACTCTAGTTGCAGAAGCAATGGCAGCAGGAAGTGCACAGTCTAGTTTCCGGAGCAGCAGCAGCAGCAGCCGTCAGAGGTACGCAGCCAGAGAGCACTAACTGCCCCTCGGAGCAAGAAGCTCACCTTTCTCCCTCGGCTTTACATCCAACCAACCCTAAGTTCGCTCCACACCGTCCATCGCTCCCTGCAACCGTGGAAGGCGAAGATGAACTCTTGTGGGAGAAACCGCCAGACGCCCAATCCTCCCTTTCCCGGGGAGGTGGAGGACAGGGAGAGAAGGCTGGGCTCTAAACTTCCACAGTGGATCATCAGTTTATTTTCAACGCTGCCGTCAAGGAGAAAGGGCGGCCGTTGCCGTGGCAACCGACGCCCCAGGCCACATTGCGTAAGGCAAGGAGGGGGTGTTAGGGGGCGTGGCCTCTGCGACACTGGCGCAAAAGAACCGGTGTCCGCTGCGGGGGGGGGGGGGTTGGGGGGGGTGGAGGAAGGTTAGAGGCGTGGCCTGGGCGAGCACTGGCGCTTAAGAGGCGGTGCCAGCGGGGGTGGGGAGGGTGGGAGTAGGGGGGGTGGTCGGGGGCGTGGCCTCGGCGAGAACCGGCGCTTAAGAGGCAGTGCCAGCGGGGGGACGGGGCGTGGCCTCGGCGAGAACAGGCGCTTAAGAGGCGGTGCCGGCGGGGGGACGGGGCGTGGCCTCGGCGACCAGGCTCAGAAGAGGCGGAGCCGGAGGGGGGAAGGGGCGTGGCCTCGGCGAGTGTAAGCGCATAAGAGGCGGTGCCGGCGGCCGGCGTGGTCGGCGGAGGCTGTCAGCGCGGCCTGCGGGAGGCGGGGCAGCCCGCGTCCTCTCACCACGGTCTTCAGCAGCCCAGTGGCTCGGGCCGGCGAGGGAAGCCCCACGCCGCTCTTTTTCCCCTTCCCCTCCCCATCTGAGGGGACCCTCCCGCCCGTTCCGCACCCAACATGGCGGGCGGGCGCCGCGGCCTGGCGGCGATGGCGATCCTGGCTGTCTGGCTTTCGGCGGCGACCCAGGGCCAGGAGCAGGCCGCGTTGCCGGCGGAGCAGAGCCGGGTCCAGCCCATGACCGCCTCCAACTGGACGCTGGTGATGGAGGGCGAGTGGATGCTGAAATTGTGAGTGTGTCCGTCAGTCCCCGCCAAGCCACCCTGGGCCTCCCGAGCTCGGGCCGGCCACTTGCCACCCCGTCCCGGCCGGCCCGACCGACCTCGGGCGGCGGGGGACCAGCCGGGGCCCGCGACCCGCAGCGCGGGGCTGGGGACCTGCGGCTGCGCATGCGCGCACGCCCCTCCGCGGTGACAGCCCGGGGCGCGGAGCATCCCCGGCCGCCCTCACCCCTCGCTTGCTGGAGGCTTCGGGGAAGTGTGTTAGGGATTGAGTGGGGGCGGTTACGAGGGGAGGCCGTGTCAGAGAAGCGTGTGTTCTGTGTGTATATGTGTGCTGGTCTTGGGATTTGAACTGGGCGTTACGACTATTATCAATTATTAATCTTGATCAGAGCTTCACCACCACAGCGCCACTTCCAGGGGTTAATTGGAAATAAGGCTCCCGGGGACCCTCTCTTGCCCTGGCTGACTTCGAACCATGGTCCTCAGTTTTCAGCCTCCTGCGTAGCTAGGGTTACCGGCGTGACCCACCCCCGTGCTCCCAGCCCATGGTGTGCGTTTTGAGGCCAGCACCTGCAGGAGACAGGACAATGGCATATCCAGTGTGAGTAGGTAAGGGATGTGTAGAATTAACTCGTGGCAGGACAGGGAAGGCTGGTCAGTTTGTTAAGAAGTATCCTAAGTCTTCTTGTGGAAGACCTTGGGGTGTCATTGTGCAAAAGAAAACAAACACTGGCTGCCCAAGTTTTCAGACAAGATTAAAAATCAAGGTTGATATTTGTCCTAACTGGTAGAGGTAGCACTTCGGGGCCGAGATGGTAATCTAATGGTGCTGTTTGAAAGAAGAGGTCCCCTTAACAAATTTCCCCTTTTGAACACTAAAAGTTAGGTTAAGTGGAGAGTGCCTTTAGCATGCAGAGATAGGAAACTACATTTCTGAGTTGGAAGAAGGCAAAGGATTTGCTGATTGGAGCTCAGTAGTACAGTAACTTAGTAGTACAGAATGATTGTTTGAAAGGATCTGAAGTTGATGTGGGCATGTAGGGAAAAATGGAGAAAACTATCTCTGCAGCCTGTCATTTCAGGGAATATAGGTAAGTCATTATTACTATTTGATAGTTTTAGGTTGAGGTCACAGGCCCACTGAAAGTTGGATTTATATTTACCTGAGACCAAATTTGAGACCAAATTTCATTTTAGATTGCAAGCAAATGCCTATGAAGTGAAAATCTCCACATGAGATAAAGACCCAAAGTCATGCCATTAAGCAAATTACATCTCTCAAAGAACAGAACATGCAGCATCCTTTCAAGTACTCATTTAGCATTTGTTTATAAAGAAGAACAAATTATGATACCAAAATAAAATGCTTTGTGATCAAAATAAAACAGTGAAGTTGCTAAGGAGAGCTAGAAACAGGAGTAACTTACTAAAATAAGTTAGCCACCCTGGATGAAAGTGAGGAGAACATATTTCACTTAAGAGAACCATTTAGATGAAACTTTTATGTTAGGACTGCCATGTTTTTAGTAAGTATAGAAACTTTAGAGAAATTACACATTTTCTTAGCCAATTCTTCAGGAAGTTTTTTTTTTTTTTTTTTTTTTTGTAATCCGTATACAATGTTGTATTTCTAGATGTAATGACAGTCAAAGCAGAAAGTCTTCCTTAAATTTAATGATGTCAATTCCTTAACGGTTCCCTTTGAAATTCTCTCTTTCTTTTAATGAAAGAATTGTAATCCTGGTGCTAGTGGCTCACGCCTGTAATCCTAGTGACTCAGGAGGCTGAGATCTAAGGATCATGGTTAGAACCAAGGTGAAGGTGGAACTCTGGCTCAAATGGTAGAGCATTGGCCTTAAGCAGAAAAGTTCAGGATCACCTAGACCCGTAGTTCAAGTTCCCAAATTGGCGCAAAAAAGCAAATAAACTAGAAACACTGAAGCTGGTATAAATATTAGTCTTTGCAAACTTCTACATGAGTGACTTCCCCAAACTACCATATGTGGTTATGTTGGTTAGATTTTGTCTGTTAGAAATGCCTCAGCCTAGATGGTTGCAATTGATAACTGAAACTTTGCTCTGCACACAGTTGTACAATATACCCTAGTCTGCGGTGCAAGATGAGTTTGTAACCCGGAAGTGAGCTGTTGAGATTATTTTAGCAGAAGTTCTCCTTTAAGTACATCAAAGAATAGGTGGATAGAAAGAGATGAAAAAGTAAAAACTTAAGTCATTATATCCGGCTTCTTTCTGGATACCAAAACTCAATCAAAACTATTCCTTCTGAAGAAATAGTGTGACTCTTGTCTATTTTTTAAATTTTTATGTATTACGTGTCACTCTCTTTTCTGTTTGAAAAGAATCCAACACCTTAAGAGATATAAAATCTATTGGAGTCTTAGCACACTATAGGCCTGCTATACATTTCTAAGAATTCATCAAAATACTTATGCTTTCTCTAATGAATGTAACAAACCAAAAATCTATTTATACTGTTTCTCATATGAATGATTTTATTAAGATGATTGATTATATAATTAGAGATTAGGAACAGATGACTTCATTTTCCTAAAGAAGCAAGTTAAGATTTCTGGTAGAATTACAAATTTGTTAAAAGTTTCACGTCACTCTGAATTACAGTTCTTTGTGCATCTGCTTATATGCCATTTTTCCTCTGGGAATCTGTTTTCTTGAATATCATATCATGCAAAGCCCATGTAATTTAGTTCATTTATATTGGTACTGAAAGTTCGTTAGAAAAATTAATTGGTTATATTTTCTTTGTCTTTCAAGCATTACATTTTGGGGGTCCCTGCGATGGAATTTCCAGTTTTAAAAATACCCTTTTGTCCTGACAAAATAGAGACATCCATCTTAATCAGTAAACTGATAGTGGTGGACTATAAATACTGTCCAAACTATGTGAGGAAAAATAGGTAAGAAGATCATTGTTTGAGGCTGATGTAGATCCAAAATAGAAGATTCTATTTGAGAAATAACAAAAATATAAAGGGCTAGAGTGTGTTCAGATAGCAGAGTGCCTTGCACAGCAAACTAAAGTCCTGAAGTTCAAACTTCAGTTCCACCAGAAAAAGCATTTTTTTGTTAGAGAAATATTATTTCAAGTATATTTTAGTAATTCACCATTTCTGTTTTGAAACCTATTGACAAATCTGCAAAATCATTTTATTATTATTTGTACCTTCTCTAATGCTATGGCTTTATGCTCAGTCTTTCTCTTCCTGTTTGCTTTCTTCACTTGTTTATCTCTAGTTCTGCCTTGCTATGCTTTCCAAATAATATTTTCTGATGTGTTAGTGTCTCAGTTTTCATTGTTACATACTGTCCTTCATTCAGTTGCTCTGCAAGCTTCTTGAATGTGTGCTTAACTCCCATTATATTAATGTTACTTTTGCCCTTTTTGAAACACAATAGTATAAAATATGACTCATTTTGTGTGCTATCCTGGTAACTTTCTATCCCCCAAAGAATTAAGAAGGTATTTAGGCAGCTTAGTTTGTTTGTTTTTTTTTAAGGCAGCTTAGTTTTGATCTGCTTACTTTTAAACTAGTTACCAGAGAAAAATGTTACTATCAGAGGTAAATCAACTTACTTCTATAAGGCTTTTATAAAGTAGTAGTGGTTGTGATTTTTTTTCTTGGTAGTGAGAGGAGTGTTTTAATTCAGGCCTTGCATTTACTAGGCAGCCATCTGCCACAGAGCCAGAGCTCAGTCTTAGCCCGTCTTTGTAGCCTCCCACATTGCTGAGAGGTGCTTGACATCGTTCCCAGCTTCGGGTTTAGAAGGAATCTGTGAACTTCTTTTATCTCATCTGGGATGAAACTGTAATCCTCCCAATCGCAGTCTACTGAGTAGCTAGGATTATAGTTGCGAGGCACTAATGCCTCCATCAGCACATATTTTCAAACTTTGAGTATGAAGCAAAGCCTCATTATTTATATATTTATTGGGGTGCTATGTGTGAATTTAGGGCCTCACATGTACTAGAAAAGTATTTTACTACTTGAGCCATGTCCCCTAACCTTTTTGCTTTAATAGTTTTTAGATAGAGTTTCCAACATTTTGCCTGGGGCTGATCTTGGAACTTGATCCTTTGATCTATGTCTCTTGCATGGATGCTGGTACTAGAGTATACCAGCACAGCTGGTTTGTTCTTTGAGATAGAATCATACTAAGTTTTTGCTTGAGCTGGTCTTGGATCACTCTCCTCCTATCCTCATCTTCAAGAAGCTGGAATTACAGGCATGAACCTTGGCATCCAACTCACAAAACCTTATATTTTTCCCCAGGACCTTTACATTTTGAAATTATCTCTTCAAGATTCATCTAATAGTTTTGATCCTCATTGTCTTAACTTTTCCATGTGAAATAACCATGCTTTTCTGCTGCTTAGATACATTGTTTTGCTTCATTGATTACATGCTTAAGAGATAGTAAATGCTTGGTTGTATGTCAGGTTGAAGGTTGGAAGTTTAAGAAAGTAAGATGGATGAGCCTACAACCTTGATTTCAGGGAACTTGCAGTGTGATGCACTAATGGAAGTATATGTATTAAGTATTGTTCATTTATATTTTTAATGTTTAACAAACATTTACAAGGTTTTCAGGGCCCTATTGGCATATTGGGTTGGAGAGTTCATTTTCAGATCTGTCTGATGAGTTTTTTCATGTACACATACGTAAATAAAATTTATATATATGCATATGTAAATATGATAAGAAAACGGAACATAATTCACGACTTTGCATTCATTTTTATATTCTACTATCTTAAGACCTAAATTCTTATTGAAATTACTCTTATTTAGAACCAAAAGCATTCTAAGAAATTTTAAAAGCTGTGGGAACAATGCAGTATATCCTACACTGAACTGAGAGCTGGCTTATGCCGTTACTGAAAGAACATATAAGTGCATTTCAACCCAGCCAGCTCTGTCTAAATTTCATAAGGCCACAGACCAGTGTGTAGCAGCAGTATACAAAAC